GCTGTGTGCGCCGCCAGTAACGGACCTCGGGTACGACCCAAAGCTCCAATGCGCCAGTATAACGTGGGTAGTCCATTTGAGAGAATCGCCATCGACATCGCCGGCCCGTTCCCAGAGTCCGACCATAGGAACAAATACATGGACAACTTCAATAAGTGGGCGGAAGCCTATGCCCTGCCCAACCAGGAAGCCTTTACCGTTGCTGACGTCCTAGTAAAGGAATGGATATGTCGATTCGGTGTTCGGTGGAGCTGCATTCGGGCCAGGGCAGAAATTTTGAGTCCAACCTGTTCCAAGAAATATGTAAACTGTTGGACATTCGAAAGACCAGAACCACAGCCTTACATCCACAGTCCGATGGAATGGTCGAACGAATGAATAAGACCATAAACCGCCACTTGTCCAAGGTAGTTTCCGACCATCAAAGAGACTGGGACCAATATTCCATCTGTTCCTGCTGGATTATCATTCGGCAGTGCACGAGTCAACCGGCCAAACCCCTGCCAGTATTATATTGGCCGAGAGCTGCGGCTTCCTTGCGACCTGAAATTTGGGACCCCGCCAAAACATCCATGAAAGAGTCCGTCTGAACATCCGGAGTGCCAGCGATAGGATAAAGGAGGCCTATGACATCAAGGCGAATGCTGTACAATCTCAAGTGACGCCGTGGTTTATTACCGAATTTGCGGAACTCGTGGGAGGGTCCGTACAAAATCATGAAAAAAATAATGACCTCGTCTACCGAATCCATAAACCACCTCGAGGAAAGCCTAGGGTCATCCATTTTAACAGATTGGCTCCTTATGCTGGCCTTATGCTGGTAATCACGACCAAGTTCGCGTCCTCAGACCACCAGAGGATGAAATGACGTTCCAGCAATTCATGTCCTTATACTCGAACGGACAGAAGGTCTTACATGGGGTAACTGGAGAAGAGCCACGAGACCTTTTCAAGGTTCCAGTTGATTACGCACTCGCTCACTGCGTGGCAGAGGATCTTCAAATGTCCAAGGGTATCGTTGTGGTATTCAACAAGAAATTTGGTCAGCTCCAAACATTACGAGAACAGAATCCTGAAGTCGGAGGAGTGCTACAGTTGAGGAAGGGACAGAGAAACATTTTCTACTTGGTGACCAAAAAGCATTCTCGAGACAAACCGTCCTATGAAGATGTCTGGAGGAGTCCTACTAGACTGAAGGACACGATGCTCGACCAGAATCTCGTGCACTTGGCAATCCCCAAATTAGCCTCTGGGCTCGACAGGCTGGACTGAAGAATTGTGAGAAGCATGTTGGAAACGATCTTCAGATCCAGCGGCATCCAGACTTTGGTTTGTGGTAACCATCTTCCACGACTGAGCATGAAGACTGTGGAGTGTTACTTCCATCGAACTTCACAGTGCAGATATAGAGAGTCCTGCCGGTATCGACACACGCCAAGGATTACATTTAAGAAGGAGGCAATGTAACGAATCTGAAGCCGACCCTGACTCAGCCAGCAAACACATGACTCATCGCGAACCACCGCGAAATGTATAGATGAGTGCCGAAAACCCTAGAGAGATCTGGAGCGTTCGTTGACGATATAAAAAGGCCGCTTTCCGTCCCGAGCAGCAGTGAGTCTGTAAAAGCGAATCGAACGTTAACAAAGAATTCGAACAGTGAAGATAAATTAAGCGTTAGTTGCTAAGTGTTGTATATAAATTAGTTGTGAAATATTGTTAAAAATAAATATGTATCATCTGGTGACGTTTCAAAGACTATCCGTTTTCTTTATCCGACCTATTCAAATCAAAACATTATAATTTGTTGTTATAATTCGTCTCTCACTGTAAATCAATTCGAAATTGTTATTATCGACACTGTTGATATCAAATTGATCTTAGGTTTGATAATAAAGATGGTTAGTCTTCAAAACGTCACTTCTTGAAAATGGCCTTGAAGCCAAACATTTTTTGAATAGTCATGTAAGTTCTTCAGCTATTTTTCATTCATTTTTTCTAGCTTTCCTAGTTAAATACTTTGAACCCTGCTGTAGCTTCGGGTGAATTCTTTTTAGGGTTTGAAAAATATGTTTTGTCTTTTTTGCTTTAGTAACATTTCTCAAGTACCTACACGAATCATGACTCTGACTCACCTGGTATTATAATAAAACATTCCTTATGACTTTTCATTCAAACGCTAGCAGATGGTATCGCGAAGGTAATCAAAATAATCACAAAGATCGAAAAAAGCTCGCTGCCATTCATATCATCGTCAAACAAACTCCAGCGAGTAAATTACCCGTTGGATTATATTTGGTTCCTGTCCATAATTCATATTAAGACTACACAAAACTCGCAATAAATCTGTCAAACGCTGAGGGGGTTCTGGCAGCCATCACTGTTCTCTACATTCTGATAAAAGCGTCCCCTCGTCTTCTTCTACGCTTCTCACGCGCTTTCGAGGCCGCTGTTCAGGTCTTATTTTTGATGGGTTTTATCTACACAAACACAGACTTACAAGGTATTAGGCGCGTTTCCAGAAGAAATTATGTATGTTTCTAGTGGCGTAGTTGTGGAAGCCGTATGTGTATATGTAATACGTGTTCGTCTCTTGTGGTACACTTCATTGGAGTCACCATACCTCATGCTGCAGTTGTACAGTGTGTCCCCCATTCATTGAAACATATTAGTTCCTTGATTGTGGCTTTGTTATACAAAATTCATTTTTGGATGATATTACAAAGCAGATAATTTATATAGGCCAATCAGTGTGAATTTTTTTGAATGTATCAAAGAACACAGCACCAATTTGTCAAATGAAAACGTAGCTGAATATGTTATAACATGTTCTAGTTGGATCTTTTCCGAAGTCTGGGAAAAAAAATTCCATCTTATATTGGTGTATCACATCGAAGTAAATAATAGTCCCCGATAATGAATCATCAATATTGCTCATTATTGAAAATATACGTAGATACTTACCACTGCTATCATATAAAATTATTGTACAAGAAAACACACATGATAACTTGTAATAAACTTATAACATCATCTCTCGACAATAATAAACAACGAACAACAACAAAGTCGATAAATTAGGACTGTAGATTTCTTTTTCTTCGTTTTTTTCAAGGAAAGGTTTAGCGAAAGATGACTAGTTTAGAGAAAAACGAAAAGTGGAATTTAGAGAAACTCGATTTTTTTTTTCTAATCATAAATATAGAACAAACTGGTGGAAAAAAATGATATGTTATCCAAAACGATGCTGATAAGGTTCTGAGATAAGTGTCTTGCCCCGAAACTTCGAAGTACACCATTGAGAATGATAGTGCTGCATGTGTGTATGTGGAATTTTATAACAATACTCTTTTATATAGATATCATATTTATATTTTATATATNAACATATTATCTATCTCGACATTAAATAATTATTTGGGTTCGGTGTACATAGCTGTCAATCCATATATACTAACTGGTTTGTTTCTACTCCACTCCCACATATCCTTTGCTAGACTACATGTTGTTAACCTATGTGCAATATTATCGGTCACATTACATTTACTGCAATCCGCACTAATGCTCAATGCATGTGAATGCAGTTTCGCTGCCACTGGAAACACTTCATTTATGGCTTTATAAGCATTGGAACGCCACCTTGTTGGTGGCGTATGTGTATGTGTTGACTACGAAACTTTCTAAATGGCATATCATTAGACACATAAATACGCTACTTTTTTCTAATTCTATCGACCCCGTATCACTTAACGTTTCCGATATCCCCATGCTGTTCATTCTTATTCTTATTATTATTCTTATTCTTGGACACAGTGTACATGTATGAATGTATTAAAACATCACAACTGTAATATAACGGTTGTAAAATACATATTTTGCCGAAATATTTCATGTATCTATAGAGTTACCTATTCATGAAATTTCTAGCCATCATCAATAATTTCAATACAGGTGGTATTTTGTGAAGATGAAAACCAAGCTTCAGATATAGATTTTACTATATATGTATCTCCCTGTGTATGTCTAAATCAGTACTGAGACACATATCGCAAGCTCCTAGACAAGAATTATTGGATCTGCTGTTCTTATAATGAAACATTCGCAAAAGATGGAGTGGAATTGACCATTTTGAAAAAATTATGAACCTAAATATTTACTTACCCCTCTCCATGATGATTGTATTTTTGAATGAATAAGATTCAAGTTCGTTTCTGGAAAAAAAATTTAAGTTTATATGTAATAATATGACATATTTTATGAAAATGCGACTTCACAGTTATATTCGCATAATGTTCACTGCCAATGAAGAAAAGTAAAGTTACAAGATACATGTACAGAAACATAATTATTCGCCCATTTGTCATACAGGGTGTTCCTTAAACACATGCTAATATTTAAGGAGGTAATTCTTAGACCAATTTTAAGGAAAAAACGTCCCATGGACGTATGTCCTAAACGCCTTAACTTCTGAGATACAGGGTGGCAAAATTTTCAAAAATAATCAGTTTTTTAATAATAACTGAGATAATTTTGTAGACATCTTTGGCATATCTGGTACATATGATTAGACACATAAATACGCTACTTTTTTCTAATTCTATCGACCCCGTATCACTTAACGTTTCCGATATCCCCATGCTGTTCATTCTTATTCTTATTCTTATTCTTATTCTTGGACACAGTGTACATGTATAAATGTATTAAAACATCACAACTGTAATATAATGGTTGTAAAATACATATTTGCCGAAATATTTCATGTATCTTTAGAGTTACCTATTCATGAAATTTCTAGCCATCATCAATAATTTCAATACAGGTGGTATTTTGTGAAGATGAAAACCAAGCTTCATATATAAATTTACTATATATGTATCTCCCTGTATATGTCTACATCGATACTGAGACACATATCGCACACTCCTAGACAAGAATTATTGGATCTGCCGTTCTTATAATGGAACATTCGCAAAAAATTATGAATCTGAATATTTACTTACCCCTCTCCATGATGATGTATTTTTGGATGAATAAGATTCAAATTCGTTTCTGGAAAAAAAATTAGGTTGATATGTAATAAATATGAAATATTTTATGAAAATGCGACTTCAAAGTTATATTCTCATAATGTTCACTGCCAATGAAGAATAATAAAGTTACAAGATCCATGTACAGAAACATAATTATTCGTAATTAGTAGTTTTGTCGTAGATCCCTCATCAAAATTTCACCAATTACAAATGAAAAACAAATCATCGATATCAATCCTGTTGATGAACGGAACATATTTGAAATAATTCTGATGGATTGAAAACCTTCTTTCTGAAGTCGAATTAATTTTGTTGATACCACAGTCAAAACTTCAAAATCTATTATGATGTAACATTATTTCAGTTTTCGGAATCTTTGAACAGGACCCGTCTCTTTTCTCCGTTACTCATTTTTGTAGCTGTTTTTTTCTAATGTATCTAACTAAGAAAATATACAATGGTATCTATTGAAAACACTTTCCCAATACCATAACAAAAATTATGGTCTCTCGACGCGACATAAAATTAAGGTAATAACTAACCTAAGCTTTTCTCAAGTTAAACAATATCAAAATTAAATATTTCATTGTACCTACAGATATTTGAAAATATGGATGGCAAAAAGAGAGGTGATAAACATGTCAGCATGTACTTCTTTCTGAAAGGGAGCATAAATCAAGCTCCTCCCTTAGATTTCACTTGGGACGGCATTTACTCGGTAGGTGTCGTCATCTGACGGACTCACTAACAATCAAGGTTTATAGCCTCGCACGGGGAGCCGCCAATACTTACTATGCCCCATTCACCTATTAATTGAAGGAATGAGTGTAGGTGTACGTATTACTAATTCTCTTTTATAAGTATTACAGGCCAAAGTGAAACATCTGCGTTTTTAAGCATTGTCTTCGCTCCTACTACTCAATTTTACAGCGTTCTTTGTTCCTGATTTGAATATTTTCGCAAACGACAATATATTTTCATTTTAAACTACCGATGAATGATATGATTATCATTAAATAACATAACATAGCATGAAATAAGTATTGATGCATTTTCAATCCTACTTGAAAAACTGTAGAACGCATTATACGGGAGTTTGATGAGAAATTTGAGGTTAGGTTCGATATAGTCAATGAAAACAACAATTTTTTGAGCAATTCCCAGTTAAATTATTGGTATTTATGCCGTTGAACATACAAAATTGCTTACCGGGTATTGCATCGTGTCTGCTGAACCGTTTTTATCAGATTTTGGCACAAAATATTCGCGGAGTTCACGCCAGACTCAACATCGCACAACACTACACAGTGTCAGCAAGGTCACGTGTACTTCAAAGTGTACGGAACGTCGAGTACGGGGTGCGTTCAAGAACGATATTCACCTCCTGATAACTACGGGGGCGAAACAAATTATATTAGAAATTCAAAGTGAAATGTTCCTGTATATCATAGTAATAATTAATTTATTTTTGGCAGGTATACAGGACCTAATTACAGGAAATGCTTATGAAGTAATTTTCTAAAATTATTGTTAGTTAAAAAAACATTAATGGAATACTTTAGATATAATTTAGTGACGAATTTCATTGAGAGATGAATGAATAACAGGTGACAGGTGATTTAAATGCAATATTTGTTCTTGCAAAATCTAAATAGCATGTCATTCCATATCTAGTGTTATAGCAACGAACATAAAAAGGGATTTTTAGTAAGGGATACACATAGTCAATTTTGTTGCGCAAAATTGATCGTCTGGTACCTACTTAAACTAACGAACTTCTATAATTCTAGTAACTGACTAGAAGATATGACATTCTAGTTTTGACCGGACATATGGCATATGCCATGTCACTTCTATGTTCTCAAGATCCTTGCTATTAATCATTATAAAACCGAGCATGCTGACGATACAGTTTGTCTCACATTATCATCCTATATGAGTTTCTGTTCGAATGTAACCCTGAAATCTTTGATGTCTGTTTGGTGAGGTTATCAACGAGTTGAATTTTCTTGTGACATTGAGCATCAAAATATTGCTGTGGAACCATTCAAATATTATTTTGACATTTCTTTGAATGTTCTGGCAAACTTTGAAATATCGAATTTCATGAAAAATGTTTGAAAGTGAATGACAATATTTCATAGTGAATTTTACTAGTTCCAACTTCCATTGTCTTGATTCTAATATGATTCGAAATCAATAAAAAAACAAATAAAATCAGAATGAATAGCTAAAATGTCGATTATTTATTAGCAATAAAACGTGAACTGAAAATACAATGAATAAAATTTAATAATCAAGATAAAAAATGAAAATAACCACATAGTAAAATAAATGAAAACAATAAAAAAATAAAAGAAATAAAAATAAGCAAAAACTAAAAAAATATAACACAATAAAGAAAAATGAAATAAAAAATATGAAAAGATTTCAAATCAAGTTACTTCACGACGTTTCGATTGTTATTATCCACAATTGTCTTCAGCTGATGACGTCGTGAAGCAACTTTTTATATTTTTGATTTAATTTTCATTTATTTTTTATTGTGTTTATTTTATTATCATCCTTTTTATTTTTCGCCTATTTCTATTTTTCATTCTTTTTATTTACTTTTTACTCTGTAGTTATTTTCATTTTTCATCTTGAATTATATCATTTCATTCCTGCCATTGTATTTCCATCTTAAGTTTTATTACTTAATATATATTTTATGAAAGTCCGAACTAATGAAATTCTTCATGAAAAATATTCAAATCATTTTCATACATAAATTTGAAACAATCTATTTTCATTATGAGATCCGTTATGAAGAGCAGAAATATCAAAAGTCCAAAGTTTGATTCTTGAGGGACTCAAGATGTAGATCTGATAAATGAAAGATACATATTCTTCATATTCAACAAACTGTTTGCGATTAAACAGATACGAATTGAACATCTTCACTAATTTTTCAGAGAAATCAATAGCACTTAACTTCTTTAAAAAAGTAAACATGGAGAACATATTGTATAACTGGAAAGAGAAATGAGAACTGGAGGGACAGATATATTTTCGTTTACCATTTTATTCAACAAAGATGTACCCAAAAGTTAATAGGTAGGTACTATCATTTTGAGTACCTGATATGAAATTGTATGAATATTGTGAATAGATTGTGCAAAAAACTTTTTCCATCCTTTTTCCACTCCACTTCCATATATGAGTTAATTTTTTTTTGAAGCTTATTGCAGTATCATTAACTTTTCAGTTACTGTCACGGATTTGTACCATAAGTCCAGTTTGGTTTCGACCGTTGTATTCCTTTTTTTTTTTCTTATTTTACTTTTGACAACATATCTCCAACTTCTATCAATAAGCCAGGCTGAAATAGGTCAAATACTGAAAACTATTGAACCAATTTCGATTGAAATTGCAATATTCTCTAAGGAAATCTTACATACACACATACATACACCTTTTAAATTTTTTTTGTATTTCCGTTCGAAAGACCTAAAAAATAATTATCTGTAGAAATGTTGAATGATAAGTGTCGAATTCTAAAGCTGATAATTTTTCTTTGAGAATTGCCGGCAAAGGAGCTCATTCGACTATTATACCTGTCATAAAGAATAGGTATAAAATCCATGCATTATTCCAGCTAACACGTCAACGAAAAACAGCTTTTGGCAATGGATTCCAAGAGTGTTCGAGAATTCTCTTAATCTCCAGTCCAGAAGTGATTAGTGTGAAAGTTTTATAAAATTAATTGAGAAAAAAATATTGGAAAAGTTCATGTGTCAGAAAATCTCACGGGTACTGAACCTGAACCCGTTGGATGTAATGAATAATTCCGAATTTCTGAACAAAATTGAGTGAGTTCAAGGAATGTAAACGTATCGGAGATAACTGTGTTATAAAGAGAATGTACCACTTAGGCCTATCCTAAATGCGATAGGTTCACCAACTTATGAACTGGCCAAGTACTTAACAACCCTACTTCCCAGGTGAAGCTCTTTGGCCATCAGTGGTGCCATCAGTACCAAACCATCAGCGGCTACGGAGATCCTTCTAGATCTACCTCCTCTCCTTATTTTTCTGGAGAGAGAGGCTAGATGGACTGTATATAGACTTGTGCACATTGCCAATTGCACAAAACAATTTAATGCAGAGTGCAACAGACTGTTGGTTGACACTGGAAGTCACAGTATTCTGGAAATGGCCTCTGACTTTTATGCCTCTAACTGTTAACTACGAACTGCCTCATAAAGTTCTGTTCCAAAGCACCTTCCGGTGCAGGTGTTTTCAGTTGTAGACTCAGGAGAGAGATCATATGCCTAGCAACCTATGCGACTGTAGTTCAAGCGGAAATTTACGCTATTGAATTGTGTGCGGAGAGATTGGAAGATTCCACCCTCATATAAAAATGTCAATAAAAATATGCTCGGACAGTCAAGCGGCGTTGAAAGCTCTTGGCTCCTGCCGAGCAATGTCTAAATTGGTAGCAAATTGCCAAAAACACTCTCCTCGATAGGAAGATTTAACAGATTGTTTCTGGTCTAGATTTCTGGCCATACTGGCCTGAAAGACAATGAGGCTGCTGATACCCTTGCAAAGGAGGGTGTGGCAAGCAGCTTGATCTTACCAGAACCTGTCATTGACATCGCTTTAGGCTTTGTCAAACAAGATTGAACACCGGGATGACAAGAAGATGTATGGACTTCTGGTAAAATCTTCCAGGATTGGCTCACTCCTAGGCGTTTATTCACCCTTCGAAGCTTGATACCAAACAGTTATTGGACTACAGTAGGAATGAACTACGATGTCCAACAGGCCTTCTTGCATGTCAGTGTCATTTGAATCATTATATGCAGAGACTCAGAGTTTCGTATGACAGTGTGTGTCGCCTCTGTTTGGAAGATAATGAAACAGCAGAGTACATACTTTGTGCCTGTCCCGCTGGGGAATCAGGTTTTTGGAGTTCGGCAGAGCTGTACTCTTACGATCTGATCTGAAAGACCACTCACCATATAAACTAATCGGCTTCGTTAAGAAGCTGGGTTTATTTGGTCACGTGTAAACAATCGTGAGCCACGATAAACCCTTGGGGATTGCAGTGGAGGGTCGAATAGACCCCACTCACTTTGGACCTAACCTAACCCTACTGCAGCCATTCATAGGAAATACACAGTCTTTAAAAAATGACTCGGAACACTTTATCGAAAATAGTAGAGATATGACGTTAGGCCCTGAAGATTTACTAGTCAGCTTCGATGTGGTCTGCTTTTACACGATGGTTTCGATCAAGGACACGATACGACTTATTAGCGAAGTATTATATGCAGACATAACTGGCTTCTTCGGTCATTGTTTATCATCAACTTATTTTCAGTGGGAAGGTGTTTCATTATGAACAAACGGATGGTACCACAATGGGCAGTCTATCAAGTATGGCGGTGGCAAACTTTTTCATGTAAACTTAGAGCAAGCGACCGTGAAACCATATTGCTTGCTGCGTTATGTTGATGACACGTTTGTGGTATAGCAAGATGGTGAAGAGACACTGAACAATTTTCTATCATCTACATCTCAACTTTCTTGACTAAACATTTAATTTACAGTGGAACAAGAAAATCAAGGACCCTAGCCTTTTTGGATGTTGTTGTGTACTGACGTGAAGCTGGTACATTGGGCCACATAGTGTACAGGAAACCAACACACACAGACAAGAATTTGAACAAAAACTCTAACCACCAACCACAATAAGAGGTAGAGGTATTTAAAACGTGGTAGAGAGAGCATGACGTATCTGTGAAACAGAGAGACTTCCTGCAACCTATACGACCCAGGAGAGATAACGCCAGGCTGATCAATGTTAAAGCTCTATTTCACCTATGTTAAAAATGTTACAGACCGAATTGAAAGAATTTTAGAGAAACATGACGTGAAACCAATATTCAGACCTACAAAAACTATCAGATCTTAGGTTAGCTAAGAACACCGGAGAATCTTCAGCAACACCCGGTGCACCGGATTCCTTGTAGCTGCGGGTCGGTCTATATCGGAACCAACCAAACCTAACCTAACCTAACGTAACATAACCTAACCTAACCATCTCTCAGAACACGAGAGAAATTGTCGACTCGGATACAGTAATCCTCGATAAAACTCAAAATGACTATCCAAGAGTATATAGAGAGACAATCGAATTTCAAAAACACAAGGATGATTTCAATACAAAAGAAGAGGCAATGAACAATAATAAAATCTACTTACCTGTCCTTGAGTACCTACACAAAAAATATAAACCGAGTCACG